GTTCTTAAATGCTTCCTCCCCCCCCACTATCATGATCCTAATTCTACCTTACAAATCCGGCTAGACCAGAGGATGTACACTGGTACAGATAGGAATTGGAAAAATGGGAATCCAGGACAGATGAACCGCTCAGGACCAGTGGTTAGAGTGGTAATACCGGGAGGAGGGTGGGAAGGTGGGGAACCGATTACGAGGATCTACATATAACCTCCTCCCTGCAGGACAGACAACAGAAAAGTGGGTGAAGGGAGACGTCGAACAGTGTAAGACATGACAAAATAATAGTAATTTATAAATTATCAAGGGTTCATGAGGGAGTCAGGGAGGGAGGGGGAAAATGAGCTGATATCAAGGGTTCAAGTAGGAAGTAAATATTTTGAGAATGATAACGGCAACAAAGGTACAAATGTGCTTGACACCATGGATTGTGATAGGAGTTTACAAGCCCCCAATAAAATGATTTAAAAGGTTTAGAAAATAACGATGGCAACATATGTATACATATGCTTGATACAATTGATGTATGGATCATTATAAGAACCATAAGAGCCCCTAATAAAATGATCTTAAAAAAAAAAGGTATGAAAACTTAAATATATGTATGATCCCCTCATAAAATGATTTTAAAAAAAAAGAAAAGAAAACTTAAACATAACCTATCACCTTTAGTGAATGAGTTTCTGGATCTAGAGGCTCAGAACCATATAGTCTTAGGGAAACCAAGGACAGTTGGTTTAACATAAGCCAAAAAAATCAATCTCACTGCCATCGAGTCAGTTCCAACTCATAGCGACCCTCTAGGGCAGACAGGATGGAACTGACCTGTGGGTTTCCAGGACTGAAAATCTGTACAGGGGTAGAAAGCCTCATGTGTCTGGCAGAGCAGCTGATGGTTTCCAACTGCTGACCTTGCAGTTAGCAGCCCAGCATTTAGCCACTACCCCCAGGAGGAAAAAGAGAAAAACACTGTGATTTTAAACGGTGTGGTGGTTGGATGATTTTATGTTTAGTTGGTCCTCTTGGTTAGGGGTAGGGTCAACACTTGTCAAGCAGGTCACAGGCTGATGCTGTTTCTGAACTTGTGGCCTTTCCCATCTTTCTTTCTCTTCCCCTTCGTCTTCTTGATTGCTGGCCACCCTGAAAGTTGCAGGACCTCTGCCATATTTCTACCAGCCTTGGGTCCACATGGATGTCATCTTGTCATCTTCCTGAATTCTGCATCATTGGTGTGAGTGTGCCTGCATCAGTTAGAAGAGGGACTTAGGGACTCGTATCAGACTTAGGAACTTGAGTTGGACCGTGCTGGAATGCTTTCTTGGTATATAATTACTTCGTGATCGATAGCTCTCTCTTTTATACATATGTTATTGTCACTGGATTTGTGATTGTCACTGCATTCGTTTCTCTAGTCAGCTCCGCCTAAGACACTAAGTTAAATTTCTTTAAGTCTTCAGTTTTGTGCTATCCCAAATTCAATCATCTTTCTTTTCCTTTGCCCCAAATACGTGAGTAATACTTATTTTGAAACTTTATGAATTTGGGAAGCTTGTAAATTTTGGGACATTTTGTCTTGCAACTTAAACAACCCACCAGCTGCTGCATGGCAGAATAGTGAGTCTGTGTGCTCCCTGGTGGCCTCATCATTACATATTGGGCTGCTAACTGTAAGGTCCGCAGGTCACAATGACCAGCCATTCCATGGGTGAAAGACAGTGCTTTCTGCTCCAGTAAAGAGTTACTGTCTCAAAAACTCAAACAGGCAGTTCTATCCTGTTCCATAAGGTCACTGTGAGTCAGCATCAACTCCATAGCAGTGAGTGTTCCCATAAAAATAATACAGCTTTGGAAACCCTTTGTGATTCTCATTGACTTGATGGCAGTGGATTTGGTGTATGTATAGTAAGGTGACATTGGAATGCTCACTGCAACGCCAGAAGTTCAAACTCATCAAACTGCTCCTTGGAGAAAGATGAAACCCTCCATATCCATAGGGATTCACAGTTTCTGATTTTTCTCATTCTTTTTGTTTTAAAGCAGAAAGAACAATCTCAGATTATGACAGCTCTTTGGAATAAGTTTCTGTTTATACACTACTGTGTAATTTTCAATTTTATTGGGTTTTTTCCTCCCGACTCCATTCTTATTAAATTTACATACTGGGTAACTCACTGTAAATTGTGTGTGTGTGTGTGTGTGTGTGTGTGTGAATAGTTCAGAGTTCTGACAAATGTATATGCATCTGTGTAAGCACTACTACATTCAAAGTCCAGTATAGGTCCATCACTCCAAAAGAAGTCCCTGTGCTCTCTCTTTAGTCAGTCTCTCCCTCTGTTCCTAGACCCTGACAACCAGCATGTTCATATTAGCATCCTACTCTTAAGTCCAAAGGGATCCAGGTGGCATTGTCTGGTATGCACTGGCCTGCTAACCTCAAGGTTAACAGCAAGCTCAGGGGTTCAAAGCCACCAGCCACACACCATGGGGGAAAATGAGACTATCTAATCCTGTAAAGATTTAGTCTTAGAAACCCTGCATAGGGTTGCTGTGAGTTGGAATTGACTCAATGGCAGTGGGTTTGGTTTCTTGGATTAATTTTGAATGAAAGCAAATCACATGTTCCTTTATCTTTTCATTGACTGGAGCTTCCTCTTGCCTTGAATCATTCTTCATGTAGGTAGATAATGGAGCTTTCATACTTAGCTTTCTCTTAGGGATGTAGATATCTATCTGTCTTACTCTAATTTTCTTAGTGATAGATCGCTTTTCAAAAGTGAATTTATTCACTTTTTGGCTTTTAGTCTATGTTAAATCCCGCCCCCCTTTGGGCAGTTTAAACCATAGGTGTAAGTAAAATGACCCCAGTGCTTACTAAATGCAGCTTACTTGGTGTATGTTTCTCTGGTTGTGAGATGGGAGCAAGTCCTAAAAGTTGAGTTAGGATTTCCTTCAAATTGGGAGCAAAGGTAACTTTGAAAGAAATATGTAAAATTTTAAATGTGTATGGATATTATTTCTCTAAAGAACAGTATAATTCTTTTTTTTAATTAATTTTTTATTTATAACATATTTTTTATTAAACATATTGGGGACTCTTACAGATCTTATAACAATCCATAAATCAATTAAATCAAGCACACTTGTACATATGTTGCCATCATCATTTTCAAAACATTTTCTTTCTACTTGAGTCCTTGGTATCAGCTCTTCTTTTTTCCCCTCCCTTCCCCGCCCTCTCACTTCAAGAATCCTAGATTAATTATTTATTATTATTGTTATTTTCTTATCTTACACCGTCTGCTGTCTCCTTTCACTCCCATTTGTTATTCATCCCCCCCAGGGGATCACAATAGATCACAATAGATCCATCATTGTGATCTGTTCCCTCTTTCTCCCACTTCCCCCCACCTCCCCAACCCTCATGGTATTGCTACTCCCACTACTATTCCTGAAGATTTTATCTGTCCTGGATGCCATGTGTCGAGAACTCTTATCTGTACCAATGTACGTTCTCTGGTCTAGCCAGATTTGTAAGGTAGAACTGAGGTCATAGTAGTGGTGGGGAGGAAGCATTACAGAACTAGAGGAATGTTGGGTGTTTCCTCAGTGCTATACTGTACCCTGCCTGACTTGTCCCTTCTGTGTGGCCCTTCTGTGAGGGGATGTGCAGTTGTCTACAGAGGGTCCTTGGGTCTCCACTCTGACTCCCTTCATTCGCATCAATATAATTATTTGTTTTGGATCTTTTGATACTTGATACCTGATCCCATCGACACCTCATGATCACAGGCTGATGTGCTTCTTCCATGTGAGCTTTGTTCCTTCCCTGCTAGATGGTCACTTGTTTAACTTCAAGTCTTTAAGACCCCAGACGCTATATCTTTTGATAGCCAGGCACCATTGGTTTTCTTCACCACATTTGCTTATGCACCCATTTTGTCTTCAGTGATCATTTCTGAACGGTGAGTATAGCTCATTCCTTTTTTTTTAATAATCATTTTATTGGGGGCTCTTATAGCTCTTAGAACAATCCATACATAAATTGTATAAGCCACATTTATACATATGTTGCCAACATAATTTTCAAAACATTTTCCTTCTTTTTGAGCCCTCGGTATCACCTTCTTTTTTCCCCTCCCTCCCCCACATTTCCACCCTCGTGAACCTTTGATAATTTATAAATTATTTTTATTTTCATATTTTACACTGTCCACTGCCTCCCTTGGCCCACATTTGTTCCTCAGGGGAGCAGTGGGGCATGTACATCCATCATTGCAATTGGTTCCTCCTTTTGCCCCCTTCTCTCCCCACCTTTCTCCTACCATCATGGTCATGGTATCACTACTCTCATTATTGGTCCTGAGGGGTTTGTGTGTCCTGGATTCTGTGTGTCCAGAGCTCTTCTCTGTACCAGTGTACATGCTCTGGTCTAGCCAGATTTGAAAGATAGAACTGGGGTCATGATATTGGGGGGTGGGGGAAAGTATTCAAGAACTAGAAGAATGTTGTGTGTTTCATCAGTGCTATACTATACCATGGCTGGCTTGTCTCTTCCTTATGAACCTCCTGCAAGGGGATGTCCAATTGTCTACAGATAGGTTTTGGGTCTTCTGATGTCTGATACCTGATCCTGTCAACACCTCATGATCACACGGGTTGGTGTACTTGTTCCATGTGTGCTTTGTTGCTTCTCTGCTAGATGGCTGCTTGATTAATAGCTTCAAGCTTTTAAGACCCAAGACACTCTATCTTTTACTAGCCAGACACCATCCGTTTTCTTTAACACATTAGTTTATGCACCCATTTTGTCTTAAGCGGTCATGTTGGGAAGATGTAGCTTATTCTTTTAACTCCTTTCTCTTTCTTTTTTTTTTGCAGAGAATGTAGCTGGACACTACATTTCCCCCTTTCATGATATTCCTCTGAATGTGGACTCCACAGAGGTATTGTCTTGATTTATTTTGGGGCTATAATTATACACTTTCAGTATCACCATATAGTGTTTGAGGTTGTTGTTGTTAGGTGCTATCACATAGGTACTGACACATAGCGACCCTGTACACAACAGAGCAAAACACTGCCCGGTCCTTTGCCTTCCTCACAATTGACTCATACTTTTTCTCATAATTGGGGTAGCATCTTGATAAGAAAGCAGGTGATTAGAAGTCATGAAGGGAAACCAAGGGGCAAAAACAGGTTATAACAGGTTATACAGAGTAGTTTACGAATGACAGTCTGTATAAGGAAAGGTCTAGGAAGACTTGGGGAGAGAGGAGTGTTAATGGCCTTTAACAGAATTTCTTTTAGAAGATAAAGGGTAAGAATTTAGGAGATTAACAAGAGGCTTATTTTTAATAACATAGTTGACATATGCGGATTAATGTCTACTTGTTAGTCACTATGTAGAGTGGATTTTGTGTTGCACTGGTATCCACACGGTCAGGAGTTTTGAACCTACCAGCCACTGTGAGGGAGAAAGATGAAGACTTTCTGCTCCTGTAAAGATTTGTCGCCTGGCTGGCGGATTGGCCCAGACCATGCGGGAACAAACTAAGAGGGAAAGAGAGAGCGAGCGAGTGGACCACATCGTGGCCCACCAAGCCTTGAGGACGACATTCCTGCTCAGAGCAGCCAATGCACAGAGAGGACCACAGGGCCAGCCCCACCATGCCGAGACACGACCCCCTTCCCCCGCCCCACTGACCCACAGCACTACCGGAGAGAGCCCTGGAGACAGTGCATGAATTGTGCCCGGTCTTTCTCTCTCACACACACACACACACACACACACACCCCCCACACACACACACACACACACACACACACACACTGGAGTGAAACACGAAGGGAACTCAACAGAGCAGCAAGTGGAGCAAAGCATGAAGTCCCCAAGGAATCCTGAAAATAGACTTTGGGATCATTGGGAAGGCTTGGCACTTCACCAGACCCAATTGGAAACATTCATAAAGGTCAGCAGACAGGCTTGAAAATATTTATAGGCTTTTTTTTTCTTTTTCTTATGTCTATCCATATAAGATAGGCAGGATAAACAATCCTGAGGAGAAAATAACAGGGACGACAGTTCCCAGGGGGACATGGGAAAGGAGCGGTGGGAGAAAGGGAGGAGGGAGCCAACAAACCGAGGGACAAGGGAACAATATAAGAGACCTAGAATCATTGAGGAGGAGGGTGAAGAATGCCTAGTGGAGTTTGATCAACTGCCATGTAGCTTAGAGAAAGTACTGAGAGTTGAATGAAGGTCCAACATGATAGTGGAACAGGAGGAAAGTATAAAGAAATAGAGGAAAGAACTAGGAGGCAAAAGACATTTGTAGAGGTATAAATATAGGCATGCACATATGTAAATATATTAATATATAATGATGGGGATATAGGTCTATGTTCATATATTTAATTGTTGAGTGTTAATGTAGTAGACGGGCATTGGGCCTCTACTCAACTACTCCCTCAATGCAAGAACCTTTGTTCTAATAACCTGGAATTCTGTGATGCTCACCTTCGCGACATGATTGCTGATGTCAAAATGAATGCATAAGCAAAAGTGGTAAAGAAAGCTGATGGTGTCCAGATATTAAAAGATATAGCATCTGGGGTCTTAAAGGCTTGATGTTAAACAAGCAGTCATCTAGCAGGGGAGCAACAAAACCCACTTGAAAGAAGCACACCAGCCTGTGTGACCACAAGGTGTCGAAGGGATCAGGTACCAGGCATCAGAAGACTCAAAACAAACAAATATATTGATGCAAATGAGGGGGTTGGAGTGGAGACCCAAACCCCATCTGTGGACAATTGAACATTCCCTTACAGAGAGTTCACAAGGAAGGAATTAGTCAGCAGTGGTGCAGCATAGCACTGATGGAACACATAACGTTCCTCCAGTTCTTGAATGCTTCCTCCTCCGCCTCACAATCATGCCCCGAGCTTGACCTTACAAATCAGGCTAGCCGAGGATGTTCATCGTACAGATAGAGCTCCCGACACATGGAATGCAGGACAGATAAACCCCTCGGGAATGGTAATGGGAGCAGAGATATCATGAGGGTAGGGGAAGGCGACAGGAGAAGGAGGAAAAACTGGCCACCAACTATGATCTACGTATATTGTCATATAACATCCCCTCCCCCCCCCCAAGGGGGACAAACAACAGAACCATGGGTGAAGGGAGACGGGACAGTGTAAGATATGAAACTAATAATCATTAATAATTTATCAAGGTTTCACGTGGGTGGGAGGGCTGGGGAGGGAGGGGAAAAAGAGGAGCTGATACCAAGGGCTCAAGCAGAAAAAAATGTCTTGAAAACGATAATGACAAAAGGTGTACAAATGTGTTTGATACAAAAGAGCTGCTAAGAGCCCCCAATAAAATGATTTATTAATTTTTTAAAAAATTACAGCCTTGGAAGCCTAAAGGTGCAGTTAGACTCTACCTTTTAGGGCCACTATGTGTCATACTTGATATATTTATTCATCCTTATGAGTTGCTGGCATGATCTGTAAGGCAATCTGAAGCTGGGAGTAGTATATTGAATTGTCTGAGATCCCAAAGCTAAATACCAGAGGTTTGGGGCCCAGTATTTCTGACTATAAGATGTGTACACTCTTTAGCCACTCTAGATGCTAAAAAAGTAAGGCTGGGGTAGTGGTGGTGTTTGAATAGCTCTTTTCTTAGGACCTAAAATCACTTCACGGTTGTGAAAGTGAAGAAGATGCAAATTGACTAGGAAGGGGACATCTGCTGCTGTAGGAAAAGCTAGTGGCACTCGGTGTTTGCGGCCACACTGAGGCTCCTCCTGACTGCTGGAAAGATTCACAGGTTGTGGTTGTTTTGGCTAGCTGCCAGGGGCCAGCCCCTCACTCACCGCAACCCTGATACATCAGAACAAAGCGCTGTCCAGTCCTGTGGCGGGTTGTGAGTTGGGGTGCTGTCATCTGTAGGGTTTTCACTGATTTTTGAAAGTAGGCCACCAGGCCCTCCTTTTTTGTCTTAACCTGGAAACTCCACCGTGCACTGCCAGTATCCGAGGAACACACAACCCTCTGCCAACAGACGTGCAGTGGCTGCTCCTGAGATCAGTCACCTCGCTTGGAATCAAACCTGGGTCTCCCACATGGAAGGCAAATATTCCACCACTGAACCACCACTGCCCCTGGCATAATTGGTAGCCGATATTAAAAATCTTAATACATTGGAAGTGATTTCCTTCAAATCCAACTAGTAGGCTGGTTACTTTCATGACCATATTTTATATTCAGCTGTTAAATACAGAGGTTATCCAAAAAGTATTGTTACTGGGACCCAAGTTCATACATACATGAGTCTATTTCACATGGTGTGTTTTAAACATGTCTCAGTGACCAGTGGATCGCTACAGACAAGTTCCCTCAGTACTATACTTGTATTAGGGTATCTTTGAAAAAGAAATGGTCCAATCAAAACTGACCTTAAGGGGATCTGCTGGGTCAGAATTAGGACATTTGAATTGTGGTGCTGGCAAAGACTGTTGGACACACTCTGGAATTGCCCAAAGAACAGAGTGACTTGCCTTGGAAGAAGAACAGCCAGAATGCTTCTCAGAAGCTGGGATGGGGAGACTTCATCTCACTTCCTTTGGGCAGGTTGTAGGAAAGACCATTTTCTGGGAAAAGGACATCGTGCTTAATAGAGGGGCAGTGAAAAAGACCCACACCAAGATGGACTGACACGATGGCTGCGCAGTGGGCTCAAACAGAAGAACAGCAGTGAGGATGGCACAGGACCAGGAGGTGCTCATTTGTGTTGTGCATAGGGTCGCTAAGAGTCAGAACTGACTAGACAACTCCTGGCCGCAACAGCAGCTGGGCCAATTAGTTCAAGCCCTGGAAGGCCAGCTCAGAAGGGTATAGTGACTGGTTGTTGGGATTCCCAAAGGGTAACTTGCTAGATTTTCTCAAAGGATGATTACCGCGGTGTATTGTGAAGGCATTTAAAGAAAACCGAAAAACTACTTTGGTGAGTAAAAGCCCAGGAAAATTGTGCCAAGGAACTCTTTTCCCTGACAGTAATGCACCCGTTTATTCATTGATCATAGCAAGAGCTGTCCTGTAAGAATTTCACTGGGAAATCTTACCCCTCCACACTATGCCTCTGATGTTGCCCCTTCCGATTTCCTTTTGTTTCCAAATCTTGAAGGACGTTGAAGAAGAACACAGTTGGAGTTCCTTGAGAATGTGAACACTGCCGTTCTGGGGTGGTGTAAATCAGAGCTCAGAGTTCTTCATAGAAAGGTGGTGGTTTGTGTGGTGTGGGGGCCGCTTGGTTCTGACTCCGAACAGCTCACAGAGTGCTGCCCAGCCCTGCACCAGGGGGAGGCCAGACAGGGAATCACCACCTTCAGAAGTGCATACATCTAGAAGGGATATGTCGAGAAACAGTAGCACCATATTTTTAATTTTTTTGCTTCATAAACATTTTTATGATTTTGTAGTTCTTTGTGATGTCATTTTGTAAGCGAGGCTGGCTCGTGGGGTTTGGTGTTTTAGAGTTGTGGAAAGCTCCACGGAGGGGGAGCAGCTAGTGAAAAAGTGAAGAAACTGCTTTAGCTCCAAGTGTGGTTTGACCTCCCGGGTATGACTCACCTGGGAAGTAGGATTTGTGCTGCTTCCAGCCCTGTCCATGATAATGGCAATAGGGAGAATAATAGTGAAGATTTATGGAGTCCTTGCCCTTGGTGGGTACTGCGCTCAGAGCTGGCATGCATATCTTACCTTCTGGGGGTATTAGCCTCACCCATATTTTACTAAAGAGGTTAATAGTCTTACCCAGAGTCCAAAGGCAGTCATCTGTGAAGGTTGGATATAAGTTTAGGTACGCTTTACTCGAGAGCTAGTGCTCAGAACTGCTGTTGTGTAATGCCTCCAAGTTCATTGCTTTTGAGTGGTAAATACAGAACCAAGGGAATCTGAAGACAGAAAGATGCCAAAGAAGGCAAAAATGATTCCGTTATGTTGTTGTGTGTCTCCTTAGTTTGTGCATCTCTAGGGTTTGTTTGTTTTTTTTGTATGTGTGTGTCTATGTTGCTACTGTTTGGTAGTGATCTATCAAACCTATGTATCTCACAACTCCCCAATACTGCTTTCTCTTCAGCAAAAACACACTCATTTACTTATGCATTTATTTGTTTGATAAGTAATTACTACATTATCAGAAGGCAGATACTATGTTAGTCAGTAGGTTGTAGGAGTAATTCAGACATAGTTCCCCATCAGTTGGAAGAGATAATCAATAAATAATCAGAGAATAGCAAATGCTATAAAAATAACTTTTAAAAAATCAAACTCACTCTCATCCAATTTCAACTGATAGTGACCCTATGGATCGAGCAGAACCGCTCCATAGGGTTTCTGAAGCTGTGCATCTTTACAGCCTAAACTTTCTTCTGCAGAATGACTAGTGGGTTAAAAAGCAAAACAAAGCAAATCCCTTACTGCTACCGAGTCAGTTCCAACTCATGGAAACTCTGTAGGACAAGGTAGAACTGCCCCTGTGGTTTTCTGAGATTGTAACTGTTTACAGGAGTAGAGAGCCTGACCTTTCTCCCGAATAGTGGCTGGTGGTCTTGAACTGCTTACCTTGTGATTAACAGACAAATGTGTAATCCACTATGCTACCAAGGCTCCTTCCTATTAAAATAGAGAAGGGCAATGCAGAATAAAGAATGACTGGTGGGTTCTCTTTTGTGTAGGGGCATGCTATGACAAAATCTGGGTACCTCACAACAGTAATGTTTTTGCAAGTTGCCACTGAATGGGCTCCTCCCCGTGGCAACCCACGCGTGCAGAGTAGAACTGCTCCCGAGGCTTTCGAGGCTGCGACCTTTTGGAAGGAGATTATGCAATCTGTCTTCAGGGGTCCTCAGGATGAGTTTGAACCACTAACTTTTATTATTATTAAAAGAATTTTATTGGGGGTTCCTACAGCTCTTATAACAATCCAAACACCAATTGTATCAAGCTTATTTGCACCTATGTTGCCATCATTATTTTCTAAACATTTACTTTCTATTTGGAACCCTGGTATTAGTTCCTCTTATTCCCTCCATCCCCACTTCCACCCCTCAATGACTCCTTGTGGCCCCTCAATAAATTATAAATTATTATTATTTTCATATCTTATACCAACTGCTGTCTCCCTTCCTCCATGACTTCTGTTGTTCGTCCCCCTGGGGCAAGGAGGGGGGGGGTAGTTGATTATGTATCGACCATTATGATCGGTTCCCCGTTCTCCCCTTCTCTCCCTACCTTCCCCCTACCCTCCTGGTACCACTACTCCCATTTCTGTTTCTAAGGGGTTTATTTGACCTGGATTCTGTGTGTCCTGAGCTCTTATTGGTACCTGTGTACATGCTTGACCAAGCCCACAGTAAAAGGCAGGATTGGTGTTCTGACAGTGGGGGGTGAGGAAGCCTCAAGGAATCAGATGAGTATTGTGTGTTTCATTGGCGCTACACTGCACCCTGGTTGACTCATCCCTTCCTTGTGACCCTTTGTGAGGGGATGTCTCATTGTCCACAGATGGGTATTGGGTCTCTTCTATGCCCCACCTTGTTCTCAACAATGTTTTTGTTTGCTTTTTGTTTGTTTGTTTGTTTTGGGTCTTCTGATGCCTGTTACCCGATCCTGTCAACACGTCATTATCCCACAAGCAGTGTGCTTCCTCTGTATGGGCTTGTTGCTTCTCTGCTAGATGGCCGCTTGTTTAACTTCAAGCCTTTAAGACCCCAGATGCTATGTCTTTTAATAGCCGGGCACCATCAGCTTTCTTCATCACATTTGCTTGTGCACCCATTTTGTCTTCAGCTATCATGCCAGGATGGTGAGCGTCACAGAATTCCAGGTTGTTAGAGCAAAGTGCTCGTGCATTGAGCGAGGACTTGAGCAGAGGCCCTAAGTCCATCCACTACCTCAATGCATTGTCATATAAATATATGTACATCTGTCAGTATCTCTATTTTTATGATTTAATGCCTTTACATATGTATTCACCTATGTTCATACTTCTATCCATAGCTTTGTTTCCTAGATCTTTCCTCTAAACTGCCAGCTTTTGATAACCTGTTCTAGCACTTCAATTTGTGCCACTCAGAGTCTGTGATAATTTTTTAAAACCTGTTTGCTTGAGAATCGTGTAGGAGGTAGCCGTAAAGGTGGAACAAAGGATGGGTTTAAAACATCTCAGAGAGTATAGGTAGCATTCTTCCTAAGGACATTGGGCTTGGGGAAATAAGAGGATTCAAGTTAGGCCAACACAAAGTATAGCAGGATTATATAGTCACAACCAATTATAGGAGTAGATGCTGGTGATGTGGAGATTGGTACACACAGTGGTGTTGTAAAGAAGTTTTCCTCGTTCTCAGTAATGAGAACTGTTAGAACTGTTATGCTATGGTGCTGTGGGGCATGGTATTTTAGGAACAGAAGTAATATTTTAGGCTTGCTTTAGAATTATCATTGCTTTGTATGTTTTTTGTTTCCCTCGTTATACCTGTTTTGGTAGGTAGAAGTTGTATATCAGTGTCAGCTTTTATGAATGGCATCATTTCCCTCTCTAAGCCGTAGCATAGTCTGTTTTAATTTAAAACCAGCAAAAGTGCTTGATAGAGGTGTAGTAATCACACCTTGGTAGAATTAAAAGCCATGAGGTGCAGCCAAGTACTTTCACGTCTTGTTAGTCACACTCCCTGGAGTTTCATTTCAATAATGAAATGACTGTTTTAAGCTCAATTACTGGAAACTGCCCGTCTTCTCTTACATTCTGAACAGAGAGTTCACTTGTTTTATAAAAACTAGGGGAAAAAATGAAAGAAAATTAGCTTTTCTGATCATTTATCTTATGGAACCCTTTGATGTTCCATTCCTAGGGGGCGAGAGTGTTGAGGACAAGACTAACTGGACATCTGGTAGACTGTTGAGTCAGATTTCTGGGCAGCCTCTGTCGTTGAATGTCTATGCTGTAGGCGTATTTTGTTGCTATGCAGTGCAACTCTGTTCTTTCATGAAATATTACAATCATAAAGATAATTTTTTCTTTTATAGGAAAATGGCATTCCTACAAAGAAAGCACGAAATGATGAAAATGAGGTATATCTAAAGGTTCTTATTTTTGTGGATCACTTTTATATTGTCTCTTAAAAATCTTCATGATAGTTGTACATCTATAAGGTGCTTTCAAAGTGTGTGTCTCCACTCTCCAAACCCTTCATATGCATTCTAATTTCCCCCCCTTCTGCTTAACATTTCTGTGAGGCATCTGGAGAAGATATTATCGTTTTATTTTATAAGTGAAAAAACCTGAGAGAATTAGGACATGTGCCCAGATTTTAGTAGCTAGTTACTTCTCATGGTAGGTGGTCTAAAAGAAAGATACTTTATGAAATGTTGTCACTTTATCTTTTGTTTATTACAACAGTGAAGATGGTCAGAGGCTGTTTTAGCTTCCTGGGACAAATGTCCTTTAGTTTTATCATCTGTATGCTCAAATAAATACATTCTAAATATATTTTTCTTGTGACTGTCAAACCTTTGGTAGTCCTTACTTAGGACCAGCACATTTGATTGATGTCTGTCATCCTTATCTTGTTCTCAGTGCCTGTTAATCCTGCTGAGGCCAGCAGCTTCTCCTTCCACCTGCCTCCGGTCTCCTCTCTGCCTAGCTTTTCCTCCTCTATTCTCTAGCCCGCCTGAACTTGTGAGTCCAACCTTTGAATCCAGTTGTAAACAGAGCTGTAGGGAGCGGTTTAGTTCCTTTTTAAAATCATTGCCTGCCAGCCATCTTGTATTTTCTTAAACTAGAGCTTGTCAAAATGGCCCTCCAGCCGTGTGCACGGAAGCCTTGGTGGCTTGTTAAACTAGTCAGATATAGTGGCGCCATCCACGATTTACCAAATCAGACTCTGTATTTTTAACCAAGTACATCCAAAGCAAACTGAGGTTTGAAAACAGATATTAGGTGAACAGACACTCGGGTGCTGAAAGCTTTATTGGTTCCTAAGGACTTTGTGATTCAGAAACAGCTTGATGGCAATGAATTTGAAGGTTCTGGTTTTCGGGGTTTTTTTTGAGGGAATTTGTATGTTTGCCCCAAACATTTGTTTCAATGCAAAAAAGGAAAAGAAATATATTCTGAGCCGAGGCAGCTAAGATAACATTTAATTCTTAGAGCACACGAGGATGTGTGAGGACGTGGCCGTGTTTTGTTTTAATTTTTAAAGGTTGGAGAGAAAAGAAATACAAACTTGCCCTTCTTTCCTAAAGGATATAGAACTTACCAATTGCTATTTTAGATATGTTGACACTCCTTCTTTCTTTCTGATTTTGGAAACAAACATTTGAGGGGAAAATGGAGACAAAAGCCAAGCAAACATCAAAGAAGTAAATCCTCTGACTCATTCACAACTTTCTGACTAGATTTGTGTCTCCTTCTGTCATTTTTTTTTTCCTAATGAACTTCAGCTGCCCATTGATGGTTTATAATCCACACAAAGCCCAGGAAAAGCACACTAACATCAGCTTTAAAAAACTCCAGGCATTTTAGTTGGAGAGGAAAAACACAAAACACAACCTGGGAATAAGCTCTTGGTGATTAGGAGCAAATATGAGGGCCAGGGAGCCTCTGGAGCGTGTGGACTGCAGGCTGAATCCAAACCTCAGCTCTCCTGTGTGGGCCTCGGACAAGTCCCTATGTGTGCGTTTGGTATGTGCCATCCTACCCAACAATTGTAAGGATTCATCCACTTGCATTTGTTCTCGCTCTGCCAGGCTCTAAAGGATGAATAAATTATGTGAGCATCTGTCACTTATTTAGCTTTTTTTTTTTTTAAATATCTGCTTCAAATATGTTTAAACTGTTATAGAGATCACTGGTGGACCAGCAGAGAATATGAAACATAACATCAAGACCATCAGTAAGGTTGCTTAATATAGGATATGAAGCATAAGTCTAAAGAACATTTGCTGAGAATTCATTCACGGTTGTTGTTTTTCTCTCTCTCTCATTATGCCATTTGTAACCATGAACCTTATTTAGAAAAACTGAATAAAAACCAGGATTACTTTTGTGGCTGTTTTTATATTTAATTTTGTGAATGGCATTGTTTGAATGAACAGCATTCAATGTTTCACTAAAAAAAGAAACACACTCAATATCATGTAGCAATGCTTTGAATCATCTTATAGATTAAGCTCCGTTGTTAGATGCCATTGGGTTGGTTCAGACTCCTAATGAGTTTGATTTTAAACTGAGAACGATGCATTGCCAGGTCCTAATACAGCCTCATATCTGCTGTTATATGGGAACCATTTTTGTGGTCACTGTGCTCTTCCATCTCATTAAAGGTCTTCTGCTTTTTCCATGACCTCTACTTTACCAAGTGTGACATCCTTGTCTAGGGACTGGCCTCTCCTTATAACATGCCCAGATTATGTGATCAGTCTCACCATCCTCACTTCGAAGGAGCCTTCTGGCTGTACTTCCTCCAAGATGAATTTATTTCTTCCTCTAGAAATCCATGGTCCTTTTAAAGTTCTTCACCAATACAATAATTAAAATGCATCAGTTCTTCCCTGGCCTTTAAAAATAATCACTGACCTGATTCCACTTCAGACCAGTTTAATTCAAATATCTATGTGGGAGTTGTAGCTTTATAAATATAAATATAGATGTAAATTTCTGTTCTTTCAGATGACCAAACCTTGTAATTTTGATGTATAACAGGATTAAGTATATTAAGCTACTCTTCCACAAATGATATGTAGTGAAAGACTAGATTTTTGGTTTATTTTGAATCTGTTATTCAATGAAACTTAAGGGAGCTGATATCAAGGAGTTCAAATGGAAAAGAATGTTTTGAAGCTGATTGTGGTAGCAATTGTACGATACTGCTTAATGTGATTGAACTATGGAATGATATATCTGTATTAACTCCCAATAAAGTTGTTTTTAAAAAAAGACATTGTAGCCAGTAATTTCAAATAAAAGTAGAGAATTCTGGGAACAGATTGGGAGTGGGGAGAGGGACTTAAATAAAATAAAAATGAATTATAAAGTGAAATATATGCTTTAGTGTTTTAGTAGTAGAGTCAACAGACATAAAAATTCCTTCATGTAGGGTCACAAGGAAGAGATGAACCAGTCAATGAAACATACAACTTTCCTCTAGTTCTTTAGTGCTTCCTTCTCCACCCCACCCCACCCCACCCCCGGCTATCATGATCCCAATTCTACCTTACAAATCTGGGTAGACCAGAGTATGTACATGGTTGCAGATAAGAGCTGGAAACACACACACCCCAAAAAAGAGGGTTGGAAACACAGGGAATCCAGGACAGACAAACCTCTCAGGACCAATAATGAGAGTAGTGATACCAGGAGGGAAAGGGGAAGGTGAGGGGAAAAAGGGGGAACCGATCACAATGATCTCCATATAACCCCCTCCCTGGGGGACGGACAACAGAAAAGTGGGTGAAGGGAGACATAGGTCAGTGTAAGACATGAAAATAATAATAATTTACAGATTATCAAGGGTTCATGAGAAAGGGAGGGTGGCGGGGAAGGGAAAAAAGAGCTGATATCAAGGGCGCAAGTAGAAAGCAAATGTTTTGAGAATGATGATGGCAACAAATGTACAAATGTGCTTGACACGATGGATGGATGGATGGATGGATGGATGGATTGTGGTAAGAGTTGTACAAGCCCACAATAAAATGATTTAAAAAAAATAGAAACATCGGTCTTTCTATAACATTTTAGAACGTGATAGATCATTAGATAGACAAACAAGTGTAGGAAAGTGTCGGCCTAATTCTTTATTGTCTCTGTGTATATACTATAAATCTTTAATAACTGCCTGTTCCTATACTTATTTTTACACGATATCTGAATAACAACTTTGACTTGAGTGTTATCTTACAATTTTCAAAAGATTTTGCTTCATAATTTTGTGTACATTTTCATTTCAATGCTGTGATTGGTTTTCTTAATAGCCTAAGTAAAGAAGAGGACAGACATTATAATGCCATTTTATAAGTTGGAAAAATAAGATGGAATACTTTAATGATGCAAACAGTATCTCATACTTTCTCAGCCTTAAAAGTAAACAAGTTTCCTGACGCTATTCTAGTTCCGTCACTACCCGGCAGAGCTATTTCCAGAACTGTATTAACTTCGAGTGCTGTGAGGTGGTCGTCATGTGGTCCTGTGGCTTCAATTCTGCTGGGCTCTAGACAACATAGCACTCAATATTTAGGGGAAATGTAAGACACAGATGTAGGTTACAATCATTTTGGGGGTTGGGGGTGGGACAGGGGTTAGAGTCTTCTGATAAGGATGTGGAAAAATAAAGGGTTAGGCTGACATTTCTCTCTTTTTTCATTGCAGACTCTGTTTAATATGGTTGTAGAAGTACCGCGATGGACCAATGCTAAAATGGAGGTATGCTGTCAGCTCCATCCTGTTAATATTGAATGGGAGTCCTGCCGCAATAATGGCATTCAAAACTTTGTTTCTTTGTTTGAAGTTGTTTGGAATGTGAGATGGTTGACAAGCTACAATGAAAATAAAAATGTCCTTCTGAATGTACTTTGCTTTTAGAGTTTTCCCCTTTTTAGCTGCGCTGGTTATTATGCTAATTTTAATTGAATTTTCCTCAACTCTGCTTTCTGCGGGGGAGAAATGTCCAGAACACACGGGCTAGGTTCTGAGATGTGTTTGGTTCACAGACCCGACTGAAGCATAGTTATATGGCGGGTGGCAGTGCTGGTTTCTGAGGCTTGCATTCTCCTCAAGATGGTATGCTGCCAGGAAGGAAAGCAGTGTGGGGCCAACTCTGGATTTATTATCACAATCTAAGAGCATCTGCTGCTCACTTGATGAGCTTTTTCATGTGATTGTTTTGTCTTTTAAATCTTTTTCACGACATTAAGATTGTCAAAGTTTCCCCTTTGCTTTTCCACATTTGATTGTTCCATCTTCTGTGAGGTAAGATGCCTTCTAAGTTCTGAGCAAACACTGATTTGTGGAACTCGGTTTACTTAATTATATAAGTCTCTCTCCTAGTTTACATGTGATAATAGAATTATTTCAAGCATTTTTTTAGGGAATGTTTTGTAGATGTGTGTTTTGCAGAATTTTTTTTTGGAGACTTGCCAGCGTTTCATCAGGTCCTGGTAGAATTTTGAAAATGGCATCATATTCTTCTTCTGGTCTTGTTTCTAATATGATGTTCTACAGTCTGCATCACTTAGGTATAAGATGTGGGGTTCTGTGAAATTCTGTCTCGTTTAAGAATTAACTCTTCATTGAAGTAATGACTTCTGGACAAATGGGTGCATAAGCAAAAGTGGTGAAGAAAGCTGATGGTGCCCGACTATCAAAGATAGTCTTAAAGGCTTGAAGGTAAACAAGCGACCATCTAGCTGAGAAGCAACAAAGCTCACGTAGAAGAAGCACACCAGCCTGTGTGATCACAGGGTGTCAAGGGGATCAGATATCAGGCTTCAAAGAACAAAAAAATCAAATCATTGTGAATGAGAGGGAGGAGTACAGATTGGGGACCCAAGACCCATCTGTAGGCAACCTTACAGAAGGGCGCTGGAAGGAGACAAGCCAGTCAGGGTGCAGTGTAGCACCGATGAAACATGCAACTTTCTTCTAGTTGCTAAATGCTTCAGCCCCTCACCCCCCAACCCCCACCCCCACCCACCATCATGATCCCAATTCTACCTTACAAATCTGGGTAGACCAGAGGATATGCACTGGTACAGATAGGAACTGCAAACACAGGGAATCCAGGACAGATGATCCCTTCAGGACCAGTGGTGAAAGTGGTGATACCAGGAGGGTGGAGGGAGGGTGGGGTGGAAAGGGGGAACCGATTGCAAGGATCTGCATGTAACCTCCTCCCTGGGGGATGCACAACAGAAAAGTGGGTGAAGGGAGATGTTGGATGGTGTAGGATATGACAAAATAATAATAATTTATAAATTATCAAGGGTTCATGAGGGAGGCGGGAGCCGGGAGGGAGGGGGCCAATGAGGAGCTGATACCAAGGGCTCAAGTAGAAAGCAAGTGTTTTGAGGATGATGATGGCAACAAATGTACAAATGTGCTTGATACAATGGATGTATATATGGATTGTGATGAGTTGTATGAGCCCCCAGTAAAATGATTAAAAAAGAAATTTTAAAAATAAAAGAAATAATGGCTTCTAGGGTTTTCTTTGTTTACTTTATAGTATGTACATTTTTTCCTGTTGAATGTTAATGTATATGTTTGGTGGGAAAATAACTTTGAAATGAAATTACTTTGTGACAGTCTCTGAGTTAAGTTTTTAATCTTAAATATGATGGTTTTTTAAAAAAAACACCCTGAGTTTTTACAATACTCTTGCCATTTCAATCATTTTATTATTTATATTTGAAATAATGGAGTACCTAAATATATTATCTGATGTCACTCTTCCAGCCAGGATTTCTTAAATAGATTGCATAAATTACTAATAAGAGCTGTCTTAGTTTATTTTAAGCACTTTGATCAGTATGTTGGAATAGGAGTATTTAGTCTGAAAATAGCAGATTTCTAAAAATACGATTTGACTGTGGGATTAATTATTTCTCATTCTTCTCCCTTTTTCCCCACTGTGATTTGCTTAGATTGCCACCAAGGAGCCCCTGAATCCCATTAAACAGGATGTGAAGGGGGGCATGCTGCGCTATGTGGCCAATATCTTCCCTCACAAGGGTTACATATGGAATTACGGTGCCCTCCCTCAGGTAACGTCTTTGTTACAGTGGTGAAACTTTTCTGTCTTCTGAGTAAATTGCCTTGTAAATCCTGTGAGCTACATCAATTTAAATCAGTTCTGAGGACAGTGTCAGTTTGAGAGATTTGTAAATTTAAAATTTTGTTTTATTGCAGCAATAAATTTTGTTTCAAACCATATATATGTTCATACTCAGCTTTATGGCGTTAACATATAACCTCTCACATTTTGCTTTTTGATTGCATTTTTCTTTCGTTTTATTTTTAGGCTATTAAGTGTCATGGTAAACATTTAGAAAGACTTATCTGCAATCGTTCCTTTGAAAATGTTAGGTGAAGTATTTAGATGCAATTCATACATTGTAGCATGAATTTTATCTTTTAAACATTAACACATGAGGTTTTTAAAATTCTTAAACTTTGTTTCAGAAAGGGGGAAAAAAATCCCTGCAAATTGACTCCAGCAGTTTTACTTGTATTGCTCCTTGTTCTGAGTTTATCATTTTTGAGTTGGAAGCCGTGGGGGAAAAGGGGGAACAGGGGATAAATAATGGTAAAGCCTCATTGCTATTGGAGAATCAGGCTTGCTCTGCTTATTTTCTTTTCCTCTCATGTTCCCTTGCTCCTGGGAAGTGGTCACTCCTTTAGGTCATCTGAGTGTGTGAACACAGAACACGCAGAACCAGAAGTATTTGTGATACAAGACCACCAACCTTCCTGGTTAAAGGAACATTAGTGGAGCCATTTGTCTGGGGACTGAAATTTTCTATCTTTATTGTCTTTACCAATTTTAATGTTTTATTTGGAGCTCAAGATTCTTTTTGTGAAATAACAGAGAAAGGGGGCTCTTTATCCACTCCTGAAAAAAACAGCTACCATGTAAAATAAACACAAGAAAAAAAAAAGAGAGAAAACTGTTTTCCAATGAGTCCGTCTCTCTGGTGCAGTTAGACCACCCATGTGGGTATACTCTTGGTTAAAATAGGGACTTATAAAATGATGTGTTAAGAATATCTAATGAAACATAAAATCTGGTTTTCTAACTCTTCCAGGTATCTAACGATATATTTACCCTAAGAGTAAATGGTTGAAGGAAATTCTGAAGACTTACGGGACACTGTCTATAGGACAGGACTGTATAGACGAGGGAGAGCGTAAGAAACCATTGGATTAGAGCCAGGGGGGCAAACACAACAGAGAGAGGAGTGTAGCAGGCAGGATGTAAGCTAAAAGTTATTTTATCAAGCATTTAGTAAGGGTTTACGTGTAGCCAGTGTACATGTCTGACCTCTGTGAGTTCACCAGGGGAAGAAGACCAATCAGCATCGGTAGCCTAAGGCCAGTTCCCACAAGGTAGAGGCCAGGCATACCCCACCCTCCAACTTCTTTTACCCTATTCTAATACCAACAAACCTTCTCTGCAGGGTTTGATCATATGTTTCAAAAATGGCCATATGCCATTTACAGACAATACAATTATAAGGTCTTACTAGGGAAGTTAATAGGTTACATTTTAGGATCAGAAACATTAAGGATACAACTCTTTATACTGCCGTGCATCTTAGCCATGCTGACAGGTACACCTCTCTCTGTCTGGTCCTGGGCTTCTCAGTCACACAGTAACTCTGCCCTGCTAAGGCAAGTGTTACAAAGTTCTGCTAAGGCAAGTGTTGCAAAGTTCCTTTAGCACTGATAGAAGCCCTAAGGGTACCCTACTTTAGTGAGCCAGGCTACTGCCCAAAGACACTCAGCTTTACTCATGCTGTGGGCCAAGAGCTCACCACTCAGCACTGCTTCTCTGCTACCTCTTCACATAGGAATCCCAGATATACTTCTCTCCTGGTTTGTTATTTTTGGTGGCTGTGAAATTCTTAATTTTTCCTTTTGAGAGCCTCACTTTATACCCAGGGGAATTTGAAAACAATCCAGTGACTTTGTTAGAGCCTATTTGCATGTTGTCATCCATTCACTGGATAGAAGTCAACAAAGACTAGGTATGGAAGAGCCATACCATGTAATTTAATAGTACTGCAAGTATAGGAAGACAAATGAAGTATCGGTGCAATATCCAAACAGCGTAATAAATGGCCAATTGTATGGAGTTTGGAGCCAGATTGCCACTTACTAGCAATGTGCTAACGCGACTTTGGTTGAGTTACTATTTCTTTCTGTGCTTCGCTTTTTTTACCTGTAAAATAGGATCATCTTGACTGTCCACCATTTCAGGAGGTAGCATATGAGCAAGAACCAATGGAAATGAAGGAACAAATTCAAGCTGCACTGAAAGCATTAGCCAAAAAAACAAGACTCCAGGAACTGATGGAATATCAATTGAAATGTTTCAACAAGCTGATGAAGTATTGGAAGTACTTACTTCTCTGTGCCAGGAAATTTGGAAGACAGCTACTTGGCCCACTGATAGGAAGAGGTCTAAATGTGTGTCTTTCCAAAGAAAGGGGACCCTGAGCAGCATGCTTAAACCACAGAACAATATCGTTGATACCACAGGCAAGTAACATTTTGCTAAAGATCATCCATCAATGGTTGTAGCAGTACATTGACAGGGAGCTTCCAGAGGTTCAGGCTGGATTCAGAAGAGGACATGGAATAAGGGATATCATTGCTGATGTCAAATGGATTTGGTTCAAAGCAGAGAATACCAGAAGGATGTTTAATTGTATTTTATTGACTATGACAAGGCATTAGACTGTATAGATCATTAAGAACTATGGAGACCCTTGAGAAAAATGGGAGTTCCAGAACACTTTGTTGTGCTCATTCAGAACTTGTACATAATTCAAGAGGCAGTTGTGTAAACAGAACAGGGAATACTGACTGCATGGCTACAATCAGGACAGGTATGCAACAGGGTTGTTTCCTCTCATCATATTTAGTCATTCTGTCTGCTGAGCAAATCATCAAGAAGACGGGGAATATGAAGAAGAATGTGGCATCAGAATTGCAGGAAGGCTTATTAACAACCTGCGATATGCAGATGACACAAGCTTGCTTTCTGAAATTGAGGAGGACTTGAAGCACTTGCTGATGTAGATCAAGGACTGCAGGCTTCAGTGTGGACTCAATGTAAAGAAGACTAAAACCCTCATAACTGGACCAATAGGTAAGTAAAATCGTGAATGGAGAAAAGGTTTTTTTTCTCTTGTGTGATCTACAGTCCATGCTCATGAAAGCAGCAGACAAGAGATCAAAAGACAAGCTGTTGGGAAAATCTGCATAAGACCTTTTCAGGGTGTTGAAAATCAAGGATATTACTTTGATGACTAAGGTGCACATGACTCAAGCCATGGTATTTTCAATAGAGTCATATGCATGTGAAAGTTGGACATTGCATAAGAAAGACCGAAGACCAATGCATTTAAAATGTGATGGTGAAGAATATTGAAAGTACAATGGGCTTCTTTCAGAAGAAGTGTGTTTCTTAGAGAAGCTGATGGTGTTTCTGGCTATCAAAAGATATAGTGTCTGGGGTCTTAAAGGCTTGAAGTTAAACAAGTGGACATCTAGCTCAGAAGCAACAAAGCCCACATGGAAGAAGCACACCAGCTGGTACAATCATGAGATGTTGTGCATATAGCTGGTTCTTCCAGTGTCCTATCTCTGTCAGTGGCTATTTAGAAGACATAGTTGTTCAAGGTCATGGAGTCAGTTTAGACTCATCGGGACTCAACAGAAGGAAACACAGCCCAGTACTGCCCCCTGCATCATCGTTGCTGTGCTTGACCTCACTGATGCAGCCACTGTGTCAGCCCATCGCTTTGAAGGTCTTCCTCTTTTTGCCGACCTACTTCACTGAGCATTATATCCTCATCCAGGGATTAGTACTTTCTGATGATATGCGCAAAGTCTGGGAGACAAAGTCTAGACATTCTTGCTAGAAACAAGCCACATCGTGCTTGCACTTCTTCCAAGGCAGATTTGTTCGTTCTCTGGCAGTCCGTGGAAGATTCCTTATTCTTCACCAACATCATAATTCAAATATTTCAAATGTTTTTTGGTCTTCTCTATTCCTTTTCTAGCTTTACACACATCTAATGCAATGGAAAATACCATGTCTTAGGTCAAGCATGCCTTAGCCTTCAAAATTATGTTTTTGCTTTTTTAACATGTTTAAACAGTCTTTTGCCAGTTTTGTTCAATGAAGTTTTTTCATTTTATTTCATGGCTCATGCTTCCATCGGAATTGATTATTGACCCAAGCTATGGTAGTTACATAATCTGTTGTCAATTTGAGACTTAAGAATGAAGGAGTGGAGTTTTTACCTGTCAATCAGGTTGCAGCTTCATGACCTCATTTGGAGGTGCTAAAGAGATAAATAATTCGCTAGAGGTGGAACACTCATTTACTCACTTGGAGACTCTCTACGGACAAGCCTGAGTCCCTGCAAAACATTCTTGTTGACAAGCCACCTGGAGGCAGGCTGATGGCAGCCAGAGCGTCAGAGCTGAAGAAGTCATGTGGAGATGCTTGCCAGCACTGAGATGCTTACAACGCCACTGGATCCGCAAGACTTTCCACTCACTGACCTGTGATCATCCTGCATTTGGCATCATTGCATGTGTTTCATGAGTCTGAAGAGGAGTTTATAGATTGGTATCAGACACATGGGCTAATATCAGACTTATGGGCTTGATCTGGGCTGGCCTGGGATGTTTTCTCAATATTCAATTGCTCTTGTATATAAAGCTCTTTCTTATACACATATGAATCTCCCTGGATTTGTTTCTCTAGTCTACCAAGACTAACACACAAGCAAAATAAATTTCTTGATACCTTAATTTAGTTTTTTTCATAATGATCCTTATTTTCATAATGTTCCTTATTTTGTGGGAATTTTTGTTTTCTTTATGTTGAGGAGTAATCCATAATAGAGATTGTAGACTTTGATCTTGATCAGTAAGTGCTTCAAGTCCTCTTTCCCCTCAGCAAGCAACTTTATGTCATCTGCATATCATAGGTTATTTTTTAAGAATTTCTCCAATTTTGATGCCACATTCTTTTTTAATATGGCCCATCTTCTTGGAATATATGCACAGCATAGAGATTGACCAACTATGGCAAAGGATACAACTCCAAGACACACCTTTCCTGATTTTATACCATGCAGTATCCCCTTGTTCTGTTTGAAATCCTGCCCTTGGATCTGTATGCAGGTTTTGCATGAAGAAAATCCAGAGTTCTAGAATTCTCATTCTTTGCAAAGTTATTCTTAGTTTATTATTGCTGACAGAATTGAATGTCTTTGCACAGCCAATAAAACACAGGTACACATCTTTGTGATAGTCTCTGCTTTCAATCAAAATCAATCAGACACCAGCAATATCTGTCATTTTACTTCTCTTCTGAATCCTGTCCAAATTTCTGGAACTACCCTGTTAATACACTGCTGCAACCATTTTTACATTACCTTCAGCAATATTTAACTTGTTTGTGATATTAATGATATTGTTTAATACTTTGAATTCTGTTGGGTTGCATTTCTTGGAATAGGCACAAATAATAGAATTGTTCCAGTTTGCTGGCCAGGTAACTATCTTCCAGGTTTCTTAGCATGGACTAGTAAATTCAGCAGCACACTGACAGGGAACTGCCAGAAGTTCAAGCTGGATTCAGAAGAGGATGTGAAATAAGGGATATCATTGCTGATCTCAGATGGATTTTGGCTTAAAGAAGAGTTTACCAGAAAGATGTTTGCTTGTGTTTACCTATGCAAAGGCATTCAATGTGTGCACCATAGTAAACTATGGATAACCTGGAGAAGAATGAGAATTCCAGAACACTTCATTTTGCATATTTGAAGCTTGTACTTGGATCAAGAGACAGTTGTGGGAACAAAACAAGGGAACACTGCATGGTTTAAAATCAGGAAAGGTGTGCTTCAGGGTTGTATCCTCTCACCATACTTGTTCAATATACATGCTGATCAAATTATCAGAGAGGCTGGATTATATTAAGAAATTGCGACATCAGGATCGGAGGAATGCTTATTAACAGCCTTCCATGTGCAGATGACATAATCTTGTTTGCTGAAAATGAAGAGGACCTGAAGCATGATGAAGATCAAGGATTGTAGCCTTCAGTATAGATTACAACTCAGTGTAAGGAAGACCAAAACCCTCAACGGGACCAATGGGTAACATCATGATAAATGGAGAGAAAGTTGAGCTTGTCAAGGATTCTGTCTTACTTGGATCCACAATCAATGCTCATGAAAGCAGCAGTCAATAGATCTAAAGACATATTGCATTAGGTAAATCTGCACAAGGCCTCTTTAGAGGATTGAAGAACAAGGATGTTACTTTGAAGACTAAGGTGTGCATCATCCAAGCCATGGTATTCTCCATTGCATCATATGCATGTGAACGTTGGACCCTGATATAAAGAAGACCATAGTAGAATCAATGCATTTGGATTGTGGTGCTGGAAAAGTACATTAAAAGTCCCAGGGTCTGCTTAAAGGAAAAACTGATCTGTATTGGAATAAGTTAGGCCAGAGTGCTCCTTAGTGGCAAGGATGGCAGGACTTCATTTTATATACTTTGGACATATGGTCAAGAGAGACCAGTCCCTGGAGAAGGACATCACGTTTGGTAATGTGGAAGGGTGGCCAGAAGAGGAAGGCCCTCAACAAGATGGACTGGCACAGTGGCTGTATCAGTGGCCACAGGCATAGGAGCAGCTGTGCAGTGTTGTGCCCAGTGTGTTCTGTGGGGCATAGGGTCGCTGTGCGTCGGAGTCGACTCAATGGCCCCTAACAACTTTGAGTTCAGGTAGTGCTTGACGAGATCTTACTCCCTTAGTGGGAATCCTGATTAATCAGGAGGCAGTTTTCAAGAATCACCTCTATGAGGAGGCTTCAAAAAGTTTATGGGAAAGTGAAATTAAATAATAATAATAAAAATTTTTCATGGAAAAATTGAATTCCCCTTGCATATAAAGCTTCATATAATTCAAAATTTTATATATTTATTATTATTCATAGATAGCTATATGTAATGATAAACACCAACACATGGGTGAAAAAGATTTTCTGTTGGCTAAATCAATTGCGTATGTATTCTGATTTATTCATTTTCATAGCTTTGTTATCCATACTTTGTATGACTGTAGCAGCTTATTAACTTTCTTATTGCTAAGTTGTTTTCAGCTATTTGTTGCCATTCTTTGGTCGATGTTACAATGTTTCTATAACGTTTATAACAAGAAGACAAAATGCTGGGTTGTGATTTGCATACACCCAACTTGCTTTATTAGATATTAGATATTCCCAAATTGCTTACACAAGACATTATAACAAGTTACACTCCTAATGGCAATGTGTAAATCTTCATGAGCCATGTATCTTTACTAGTTATTTGCATAATCATATTTTTCCATTAGTGAAGTAAAATCTCATTGGGATTGAAATCTGTATTTTTCTGACCAGAATGGACATCTTTTTATATATTTAAAAGACCCTCACTGCCTCATCTTTAAACCACCTGCTCACGTCTTCCCCCCTTTTTGTATTTGGATACCATTTTCTTTTTTAGTTTTAGAAGTTCTTTGTAAAGCTTGTCGTATTTTGAAACGAATGTTGGGGAGATTTGTAAATTCCTCCTCCGTGTTTGTCCGCCATCTTGAAGTGGTTTTCTGTTTCCTTCACTGCCCAAGTTACCCACCTACAGCCCCACAAGAGGGCGTACTTAGAGCTGCCCTAAACCATACAAAGTGACTCTCCTGGCTCTTGCTTGAAAGTAACTAAATTAGAGATCCCTGAGTGTGCACCTCCCATTGTAGTGAACAAAATGAGGCCAGTGGATGTAGCCGAAAACAGAACTGTTCCAGTCGCTCGTTTATGCTGGTAAAGGAGATCATGAAGACTTGCCCTTAAACTGACATTGAAGCATTGTGTGTTAAGATTAACAGTTAGGGTTCCACATTCATTTTTTGTGTGGAGTCTCTGGATAGTTCAGATTCCATTGCTAATTGAAAGGTTAAATGTTTGAATCCACTCAGAGGAGGCTTAGAATTAAGCTCATTGATGTATGTCTGAAAAACTCATGCATTGAAAACAGTGTGGAGTGGAATTCTGCTTTGAGACATGGGTTTGCCATGAGTTAGTCCACCCGACAGCCATGGACTCATTAATATTTGGAGGAGTGAAGTGTTGTTGGGTTTGGTATGCTGATTTCCAGCTCTTTTCCTTCTTTAGTAAGGGTGGATCCATTTAGTCCTGAATATACTATAACTGGGACCCACAGGAAAATATTGATGTTGTTCTGCGGTGTGGCTCTGAGCGAGTCCTACATTATCTCTCGAGGAACTGAGCTTGGATCACCCAAAATGCTGGATCAAAATGATAAAGTGAATCTTGAGATGAATCTCCATCCCTTAGATTGTAAACCTGAAGAATAAAAATAATTTTTGATGGAGAGTGTAAGACATGAAAAAATAATCATTTATAAATTATCAAGGGTTTGTGAGTGAGGGAGGGGAGGAGGGGCAAATGAGCTGATACCAAGGGTTCAAGTAAAAAGAAAATGTTTTGAGAATAATGATGGCAAAAAATGTGCAAATGTGCTTGGCACAATGGATGGATGGATGGATTGTGATGAGTTGTACGAACCCCCAATAAAATGGTTTTTAAAAATAATAATACGTTTTGTAAATTTCTACAGTCTATTTAGAATCAGGCAGTTATGCAGGGGTTTTTGTGTGTCTTTGTTTTTGTTTTTTGGAAGTAGGTAGTTCCTAGGCAAGATTTAAACTTGTAAGGGATATTGAAACTTGATAACAAATTTACATTAAGCTGTTCTTTTATTTTAAAATGTTTCTGTTTATAGTTTTGTAGCCAACAATGTATGATATTTTCAGTAAATTAAGGAGTGGATATCTTTTGTGCTTTTGCTAAGGTCTGTAGTTTGAGAGCAAAGGCAGAGGATTTTTTAAATGGGAAAAAATAGGATAAACATTTTATACAGTTGTTCTTTAGTTTATGAAGGGAAAATTATGTTTCCTGTAGTAGAAATCATTTAAGGAATAGGAAACTGATTTGTAAACCTAGGACCCGCCCTGCAAACCATCCACACACACCCCCCTCTGTTATCAGATCAAAGGAGGCAGTGAAAGATGGAGGTAACAGCCAAGGCCAAGGTGGGAGCAGGGACAGAGACAAAGGGACCTCTGAACTCAAAGGGGGTCTTGAAACTCTGAACATGAACTTAGACACTGTTTGGAATACTATGTCTGGAAATACCACCCACTTCCAGATGTAACTATACAAATGAAAGAAGAGAGGAAATGCTATTTGCATCATTACAATGTTTAAAGGATTTAGTGGCATGCTAGGTTTGCCTCAGTAATTTCTGAGGAGAGTTTTTTTTCTGGTTCATTCCTGCCTATAAAACTTCATGGTTGTATGAGAAGATGAAAATAATTTATAGTGGGTACTAACCTATACTTCTGGTTTTTTTAAATTTTGTTTAGACTTGGGAAGATCCTCATCATAAAGATAAGAATACAGATTGCTGTGGAGATAATGACCCCATTGATGTTTGTGAAATAGGCTCAAAGGTTTGTTGTATTTACAATGTTAATTCTTACTTGTGTTCTGGTTTATTTGTGCTGTAGATTTTCAGTTCTTTCTGAAGGCACCAGTTCTCCAGTGCACAAAACTCTAGCCCATTGATCCCTGTAATATCAATTCTTTCTTATGACATTACTTCTCCTAAACCAGGTTTAGCAAATGACAGCACTGGAATCAAATCCAGCCGACCACTTCTGTCAATAGAGTTTATTGGAACACAGCTTTGCCCATTCATTTCCACCGTCTCTGGCTGCTTCTGTACCTCAGCAGCAGAGTTGAGTCATCACAGCAGAGACCTTAGGGCCCACAAAGCCGAAAATGTTTACCATCTGACGGCTTAGAGAGCAAGTTTGTAGACTCCTGTCTTCAATTCTCTTGCCCCTTATGCAGACAGAAACTTTAGTACCAAAGAAGGCCAACTGACGTTCTTTTTTTATATTTGCAGCCAGGCTTCCATGTCCTACTGGGGGAAACTAACTCATGGGTGTATGCTACCTATCAGTCCTTCTGTGAGTCTATCTATTGAATAGACTCTATTCTTTCTTCTGTTTTCTACTGCTTCTATTGCTAATATTTTTTGCTCTCTGTCCACATTCAGCCCTTTCTACTTCTTGTTCCCAGCAGAAATTCTTGTCTTTAATTTTATACTGCTAAATAGAAAATCAGCAGATAAGGACTCCCTCACCTTATCCTTAGAGTGTATCTGCAAATACTGTTTCTTCCCTCTGATATTGTCTCTTTATCTAAGACCAGAGCTTCCTGTGTTGTTGATTGTATCCCTTCCTGCCTCTTGAGTGACAATTTTTTTCTTATCACTTCTCTTTCCTGTATTTACCATTTGTCTTTCTTTATTAACTTCCTCCCATAAATGTCCTCTCTTCTTCACATGAAAACTTATAAAGCATTTTTAACACTCATCTCTAGTTCCTACTTCCCACTTAATCTTCAACCAATTGCAAAGCTGTTTCTGTCTTCATTATTTTTTTTAAATCATTTTATTGGGGCTCATACAATTCATCACAATACATACATCAATT